GAAGGGGCCAAGTCTCACTACCATAGAACAGAACGGCCCTCACTGTGGCCTTGTATACCCGGCTTTTCAAACGGAGGGAAGTTCCCTTCTGCCGCCAAAGATGCCGCAGGTTTAAGAACGCAGCTCTGGCATTTGCAATGAGTGAAATGACGTCAGTCTCTATGCGCCCATCGATGCTGATGCAGCTGACAAGATAAGTGAACTGAGCAACCACCTCGAGTTCCTCGTTAGCAAGCGTCAAGGCGTCATCAAATGGCTGGTGGTCCCTCAGCAACACTTTGAGGGTTCGAAGTGCATACAAAATAATGGAGTCACTCTGGACAGGCTATTCAGGGTTGATTGTGCCGCCGCAACATCGTCGAAAAGCCCGTCTGTCGGTGGCCAAGTGGTATGCGCGTCCGGTTTGCAACCATAAGGTCACCGGTTCGTATCCGCGTAGGGGCGGGCGTCCTCGCGGTATACTCAGCCCTCGCGCGACTGGTGGTGGTCGCGTGGCAGTGAAGCGCCGTTACGGCGTACGGCTGGCGATTTATTTTTTTATCTACCGCATATGAAACACTCATCATCACCAATACATGTTAGCTGAGAGTGAGAAACACACCTTAGCAAATGCTCAGCAATACAAAAAGATAAGCTACGAGACAATACGGAACAAGAAAACTAAAAAATAGGTAATTTAATGCTAAACATAATATTGTGCATTGGGTATGAGAACTTTGTTGAAGGGAGAGGCTAAAGCGGAGGAAGAGAGACAGACTCTCAATATGAACGTCTTTGAGGTCGGCTATTCGTTATGTCTTCATCTTCTTCATCTTCCATCGAACCCCAGTCCGGCAGTCGAAAGATATCAACCAAGGCAAACACCAAACTAAGGACCTTCATTCCGCTTGACCAAGTCATCACTTGACCACCTCTTCTCTTTTTCCATCCAGACACCGGGGTCGCGCAAATTACGCGCGGCGAGGGAGTAGGTGTGCTGGCATGCGAAACACGTGGCCAAGCCATCGGAGTCTGGTGCGCGATATAACGAAGTTGAACGGTTCACTCGCCCTTCCTGCAACAAATACGAGACATCGAACACGTACAATTTTCACGCGATGGTCCAACCAGACATGGGCTAAGCTGCAAAAGCAGCGGTGGTCGAACAACGCGCTTTACGTCTGTTGACTTGATGGACTGAGTTTCAAAACCGTGCAGTAGGGTTGAACGGACGCCTACATCGTAAACTTTGCCCCTCAGAGCGAGTGTTGTCGCGCAGGTGCCACGGGTGGCAAAGGTTAGCAAAAACGCCTCGAGTTACCGTTACGTGGTTCGTGACCTCATCTTCTATTCCACAAGCGCTAGTATAGCAGTCTAAATACTTAAGTTGCTGAACAACTACTTGTTGATCACCATTGAAGGTCAGCGCAGGAGCGAGGTACCGCCAATCCTGGAGGAGTTTGCATTTCGAGGGTACAAAGCTTAGTCCAAAACGACTGACAGACAATGCTAACTTGTCCAACGATGCTTGGCACGTTTGGCAACTGTCACAGACAAGGGCAATGTCGCCAGCGCAACCCAAGTCAGAAAGTTGATCACCTGGGAGCCGCCACGCTCCGTAATGGTCGTGTCCAGTGAGCGCCGTTTCCATGACCTCATCAATGGCGAGGTTAAGAAAGGTGACAATGGGCAAACTTGTCTGACACCGCGACGACAATTAGCCATAAACACTTACTCTGCGCGTACAGTGTTCTCAAATTGTTTACATATGTACTGGGCACTGGGAACGGGCACGTCAATCTACGCAATAGAAGGAACACGATTACAGCTGGTCGCCAACAATTATGGCGCTGTTCCAACAACTGATTTCACGAAACCCAGTTTGCTGCCCGCGAATCTGGTCTTCGCAGGTTCTAGACAATCTGGGAAGAAAGGTAGAGAGCAAATAAAAGGCAACTGGGATCAGACTCGCACCCTCTATACTGCCGTATTCCGGACTGAATCTCCCCTGAAAAGTGGTACTATGATGGAGCGGCTCCAGTTTGATGGGACAGTTTCTTGCTCCCAGAGATCTACTAGTAAGTTGTGTTAAAGATTCATAAGAGCTGCTCTCCTGAATTTGAAAAGAGCTGGAAGAAATCTGTCTGCTCCTGAGGCTTTATTCATTTGCAACAGCTTGATCTCACGTTCGGCTTCTGCGTGTGAGGGACGGCCCAGGAAGAAGAGTGATCGGTGCCAGAAAAGACAATAACTCCGGCTGATTACAATGCTTTACGCAGTGCACGGTTTGACGCTCCAAGCGTTTTGACAAATTGTGAATCGGCTGCCAACTCTCGTGACATACGGTCTCGCTAAGACAAGGTCTCCTGTTGTCCGTTTCCCGCATCAGAGGGAATGACTTATGTCGGCTACCAAAGGCATTGGCTGTCTTCATCTTAGACGCATGATGAGACCACGAGGATTCGCGGTCTCTTTTCAGACAAGCACGCAGTTTTGCTTCAAGATCTTTGCGAGTCTCGTTGTGTGTGCTTCCAGCCGGAACACGTCAACGAGCAATCGGAAATTCCAGACTGTTTAGAAACCCAATGTCTAGGATGGCAATTCGACCTGCCACATGAAGACATGCCAGCTGCTAATAACATGTGGTGTATATGCGACCAGTGATCTTCAACAGTGTTCGGTGGGCACTTAGTCAGCCCTGATGCTAGCGTACCTTGATACACATTTAGAACACCTAGCTTCGCCAGTTGGTAAGTAGATATGCGCTCACAGCGTCATTGCGGACATCCGCCGAAACACACCCAAAGATCGTAAGACACCAGTGCATGATCGGAGACAAGGCTCATGCTACAAAACGACTGGCAGTCTTGAACATAGCCTGACCAGTGGCAAATAGTCGCGATCTGGTTGATTGGCGTCCATGGGTGGACCGAGGCTGATGGGCGCCTTGTCACTCTTCTGCGGGTGCCGTGTCGAAAGTTAGTGCTCGCGAGAAATGGGCCAGCATCTTCACACAGGCATAGTAACCAAACACCGTTATCAATACGGGAGCCTGTTAGGGTTAGAGCTAACCTAACCCGAGTAGAATCTAGTTTTTTTGGAAAACCGGAGCCAGATGGTTTCACGGAACTGTGTTCGAAGCTTGTTACTGTGCTATAAAAAAGTGATTAAGCCACACGTTCCGAATCGAGTGTACAACTGACTACAGATGGTTATACACAGAGTAGACATGTTTTCACCAAAACCTAGGAATATTGTTTGTTTTGTGTAACAGAACACTGTTCTGAGTACCTGGCCCACACAATGTACAGCGCTTGTGAAAAACCCCACCTACTATAAAATCACACAGGTTTCCACTATGATGCACAGTAGTTTTTGTGCTATTGGCAATTGCCTTGTCCGGCGTTGTGTTCAGTATCGCGTGTTCTGACAATACCACGGTATACCGGCTAAGAGTCGGTGGGAGCCCATCAGAATTTGTTCCTCATTGAGCGACTATAACAGAGCCTATACCATATTCGCTGCCCAGATGCAGCTCATCAGTGGACAATTCTTTAAGTTAAGCATTCAGATCGGCAGCCAGCACCACATTATCCGTACACCTTTTTGTAACAAAGGAGCTTGTTCAGTTGGTGATGGAATTCATCTTTCATAGAGTCAGCGCTGCAATTTGTGGGCGCGTAGATCTTAATGACAAACAAGCACCGTTTGTCTACGTGCGACTTTGGAGCTCTAAACGAGCCGGTCAACGAGACAGCGCACATTCGGCTGTTGACTGGGATTCATTCGATCAAGACAGCTTCAGTCCGGAAGCTCAAAGCAATGTCCACATCGGCTTGACCGATATTTGGAACTGCGCCATCTCAGGACAGGCGCTATACGAAGGTGGCGTCGCAAGGTAAGCACAGAGTTCCAATCCTCCACGTGGGTTTCCAGTGAAAAGAAGATATCGTTTGATAGTGACTCTAGTGTTCGGGAGAATGCTGCCTATTGGCAAATCTGTAAAAAGTGCGCGTGCTGGGACTTGTCAGTATATGAGAGGACCGGAACAACACCCTGCGATGGCGTGCAAACGGAAACTAGTAGATATGCGCCCGTTGAATCAAGATGGAGAGAGCCACGAATTAAAGGGTTGAAACAGGGAGGGGGGATAAAAGTGTAATTGGAACGGGATGATAAAGATGAAAAACTGAAAGAAAACGGTAAAGTCTGAGCAGTAGCATCCTCATTCCTATCCACCCTGTTCGATGGCGGGCAGGATAATATCAGGTTGTCTGGGTCAAGATAGGAGAACGATTAGTTCTTAACTAAAGCCTTCGTCTCAAAAAACCTAAGCATAAGGCAGCGGGTTTCGACACTAGCCTGCAAAGTCCGATTTATGGAGCAAGGAGTGCCCATCAATTCAACGCCAACTTGGAGGGCCAGGAAACTGAGTGTGTCTGGCCTCTAACCATTGACAAATCTGGTATGAGTGACTCTGAAGGTGAAAAAAGCGCCACCGGCATAGCACAATGAATCACTGAGGCGTGCAAACCATCGCAACACGTTAAGTTCCAGTCTCGTTGCGATGGATTTGAAACGCTCATGCAAATATGATAACAGCTGGGGTACGTCCATTGACCGGATACATCAGCACGTGTTGTGTGATACCACGCTCGGTTGGATGAATGATAGCACGAATGAATTGGTCAAGGGTGGATTTACCTTCCATCAGCGTCTGCTATAACGAATGGTGATGAAACAATTAAAACGAAATCGCCCAGTTTGGTGAACAGCGCAACGACTGAACAAGCCACCCGAACTACCAGTAGTTTAAGTAATTTCGAACACAGGCTCTTCTGGATTGTCGACCATTGCCATGTGGCACACTTAAAACGTAATACCATATCAGAAATTGGTGAATGATACGCCCAAAGAAGTTGGCGTCAGCATGGTCAACAGAGATGAGGTAAATGGAAAATGTGGCGAAAATGTTCAGCCCAGCGTTCAACCCGGTCATGTACAACATAGTGACGACTCACCCAAAGCTCTGGTTCTAAACAGAACTCATCACTCCTGGCGGAGAGAAAATCGTACTCGGGCCCGAAACAGATGTTCAGAGTGCTCATGAGGCAGAACAGATCTTTTAATGAGAGACTGGGAGCGGCTGATTTTTGACCTGTGGGAGCTGAAGGGAGTAATCCGTCGTCGGAGCTTGACGTCGTGTCAGATCGTGAGCGTTTTTTACCGCTACAGCCCTGGGCTGAGGATTCGTTGGCTCGGAGCTGAAGTGAAGAATGAAAAATACCTATTATACGGTTCAAGTCACAGCAGAAATGAAAATGTGATAAAAAAGTAAGTCATGGGGCAAGATGATCGGGGTGAAGCGGTTGTCCAGTATATATATGGTTTACAGCATCCGTCAGTGAGGCCAGCCACAGGACGCCTGTGCCTACAGAGGGATCATGGGTGGCTTGTGCTGCAACACCCACAGCTCCAACCACACACCCCATATCCAGTGTAAACCCGAAGGAATAAGACCGGGAAGCATGTGGATGAGTGCCAGGTTTCATCAACGTAGCCGACCCACACTCCTTAACAGGCAAACACAAGCACGCTGTATTTGGGGAACCAACCGCACACAAGGCGGTGGCTGGACTGTAGTCCGCTTTACAATAAGTGCATGGAACCACTCTTCGAGCCTAACACGGCCACAAGAACCGTGCCCCCCGTCCCCTCCAGCAACGATCAACTGTATCCTAGAGCCAGTATGGACGAGGTAGTGGGTAATATTTATAATAGACAGGTAGGCAACTTGTCAACATGCACATCAGACGCAGCCACACCGGGGATATCAAGTAACAGCCAATCACTTGAAACGATGATACCAAATAAAATAAACCGAATAATGCATACAGATACGGTGACATAACTCTTAGCTGAATGAGGATATCAAATAGATTGGTTGCAAAAAATCTGCGAAAGGTTCAATACGTCAGAAAATATATCATAGGAAAATGCCACAATCGCGAAAATGTTATCGGAGTTAACTACAAGTAGCTTAAGCGACGTGTGCAAATTTATAGAAGATAGTTCAGGTAGATATTAAAAAGCATTAGGACCATATAGCAAACCCACCAAATGAGACATATATATATATATATATATATATATATATATATATATAGAGAGAGAGAGAGAGAGAGAGAGAGAGAGAGAGAGCAGTACAATCGACAGAGTGCCATAACGCACGGACAAATATAACACGACAATAATAAGGAAATAGAGGGTAAAAAGTGTAAAACTGGAGTCCTGGGGACAGAGTCTCACAACATGTTCGCCATTGCTCATGGTTTCTTGACAAGTCCGATAGGGTTTCCAACCAAGTGTGTTCATGGTCCACGCGCCCCCAACCGGGGAGTCGAGAGCGCCGCTGAGCGTCCTTTGCGTGAAGAGGCAAAGTCTCGCAACCGTAGAGCTGGACAGCTCTCACCATGGCATTGTAGACTGGGCCCACGACGCCAGAGATGGTGGAGATTAGCAAACACAACCCGGGCCTTAGAGACGCGCAAGGATACGTCATCTGTTAAACCGTTAGCGCTGATGCAGCTTCCGTGGTAAACGAACTCGTATACCACTTCCAGAGATTGACCTGAAAGATTAAGTGTGGGAGCAGATCCTAGCCAGTCCTGTACGAAGACCTTACACTTCGAAGGAGCGGTCATTTCAAACCGGGAGCAGACAACGCCAAACTGCACAGCACATTTTGGGCGGCTTGTGAGGAATCGCAAGTTACGGCGATGTCGTCTGCATAAGCCAAATCGCGAAGTCGGTCCCCTGGAAGCAGTTCAACTCCGCTGGGTTCGCCATGCTACAGAGCGCTCTACAAGATGTCATCAATAGGAAAATTGAACAGGAAGGGTGATGCAGGGCAGCTCTGTAAAGCAATTTATGAGGATATGGTAGTAGTTTGTGGTAAACGCTTCCAAGATTGCCTGTGACTCCGAATAGATACAAGATACCTCGGTCTACATAAGGACCATGAGTAGCTCGCGCTGCATCACTAATGTGTTCTATATAAGACGCAGATGTGGAAGGATAAGACGGAGACGTATGTGGATGGGAGACATGGTTGGTTAGGAGCCGGTTCAAACAGTAGCAACACACACGTATTCGTCAGTAGATGAAGCCGCATGACATTTCTCTAGCGTCATGAACAATTTGAACAGACTATGGACACAAAGTTTACAAAGAGGGAATGAGCGGCCTTGGTGAGTAATTGACGGCTTGGCAACTGCAAGTCACTCGTTCACTTGGAGAGGCAAGTGCGACGCATGTCTATCGCGTATGTTACAAGGTAGTACAGTGGTAAAACCGGTCAGCGAACTCGGCATGGACACCCAGATGGTGTATCGCGTGACACCAAACAGCTGATAGTCGTCTGAAGCCAGTAACCAAAATGATCTTACCGAAGATGAAAGCACTTCCATAAACACGTGGACCATACAAAGCTACAATGAGATATAGCCCGTGGACACAATCGTCGATCACGTTCGACCACTTAGGTGAAGCTTCCTAAAACGGTGGAACGGAGCGATGTGTATCAAATCATCGGTATGCGCACAGTGATGAAGTGTAACACTGAAATCCTAACATCGGTAATGCAAAGACAATTCTGGTCGCTTTGCTACAAATTAGCTCTAGTCCTGAGCAATGATGATTAAAAAGGGGAGCCGAAGTGCCACGAGTCGGATGATGAAAAAAAGTAAGATGATATTGGACGGGCATAGCTCATCTACGCATAACCCTCATGGGCCAGACAGTGGACCCATGTGCGGAATCTGCCGGAAAGGTAAACATAACCAATGAGAAAAGCGGACTCCTCAGAAATAGCTAAGGCCCAAAACAAAAGCAGTTGCGATTAGATATGCGGATAAGCGTACAATATAAAAAAGCTTCGTGCTTTGATCAAAGATGACGAGTGGAAGGCATGAGTTGTTCGGCGAATTCGTTCGAAAAATGCCGCACAAAGCGCCGCTTGTCCCACATGGAGTAGAAGCGATCTTATGCAACGTCACTGCACAGTTAGGCACCAAAATGGAGGTAAGGCTAAACAAAAGGGACCGAGTAGCGTGTGTATCCAGCTTTAAGAATAGCGAGTACATGAACATGTGACCAGTCATATCGCACAAACATGAGCAACGAAGTAATGCCAAAAAATCTCTCCAAGGAGAGGATTTCGCTTTGGACACTAGAACGAAGAGGTTCACCGGAAAAAAGCCGAAGGAAGCTAGCTGAGAACCGCCAATATTTAGTGGAAACCGTTTCAGTTGTTATCTCGCACCTTGTGATGTAGACAACTGATTAAGACTAGGTCCCGTAATCCCTTACTCCGTATCTGTCCATTGATGGCCGTCGCGTAAGGAACCTTGAATAAACGATCGGATATCAATCGAAGACAATAGCGGAGCTATGCCTTGCAAAAAGGACGACTGGAAGTGTGCACAACGCTATTCTTCGGTATTTGCTTTACAATGAACATAAAATTAGCACCGACGATCTGGTAGAAGTTTTAGCAAAGTAGCATCCACAAAAACTCCAAAAGTGTACGTTGACCACGAGCAAACCTTTGTGGCCAGAAATGCTGAACCGACTGCTTCTTGTACTTGTCCCATTTTGTCGTGGTAAATAAATAAATAAGTGAACTTTTATTCTCGACGATGCAAAACAAGTCTGAATCGGCATGATCGGATAGGTACATACTTTTATGGAACGCAGATCATAGGTGAAACGGGAAAATTGAATATCAGATCAAATAATGACATTTGGAAGGACAGCAAAGAGATAATGAATGGTTGAGTGAATCGAAATGATGTTGACTGGCCTTTAACCGTTATCTCACATATAAACCAGTTAAACCACAGGAGAGAGTATGGTGGTGAAACATGTTCTGTGTCATATGAAACCTAGATCCTGCTCGTACGCTTGGTTTGTTGTTATAGAACATTCAAACAGTTTGGTCACGTTCTGTACCGTCAAGAATTTGTTGATGCTTTTTTTGAAATTCGTGTTCAAGAGTGCAGGCACGTATTCCGGCTGGTAGCGTATTCTAGACTTTGTCGTACCAGTTAAGGAAAAGATGTTGGCAGACTTGCTGGTCCTGGAGTTGTATTCAGCCACTGAGTGCTATATGTTGAGATTGGGAACGTGCATAATTCTGTGTATATTTCTGTGCTTCACGCACCGCAGTCAGAGCGGATCAAGCTTAAGCTTAGCACATCATCATTCCAGTTTTGGATAAGCACCTAGGAGAGGCTTTATGAAAACTCTCTGTACGTGTTCCAGTGCAGTGCGGTGCCGCTTTCTTGAGCTGCTATACACCATTGAACAGTATTCCAGCGTGGGTCAAACAAATGATATGGAAGAATGTAATATAGACAGTCGGCTGACCTCATGCACCGCTATTCTCGTTGACCTTTAGTCGATTCGATTCCACAGCAATTGATTGTCGTATTGTAGGCATTAGAGGAGCAACAACTTATCCAAGCCGAATCGGTCCACCTGCGTATGACTTAAACCGGCTTGCAACGTGCAATTATATCATCTTTCGGGAGAACAATGCCCAAATCTGCGATTCCTGCCACTAAGGTTCTAGCTCGCAAGGACTGTCCACGTTGTGTGTATGCGTGTACAAAGGCATGGTCGACACATAAACGTGTGGACCGGGTGGACTGATAAGGATGTTGACGTGGCGGTCAACTGGAATTCACAGCAGGCGCTCAATTGGCGTATAGGTCGTGGTCAGTGCACAGTGCGGTGAGTCACAGCCTTACGAGCGATAGTATGGCGTCATAAGCAGCTGACAAAGATGATTGACATCTGAAATTAAATCGACTGAGAGCGCCTGCACAAATGCACTACAATCGGCGAGGAAAAAGTGGAAATTGAACGCCATATGACGACGGTTGTAGTGCGTTAGAATGACAACTGCCAAGTGAAACAGAATAGTTACGCAGTGGGGGTTCGCGAATCACCATACGATAAAATACGAAGTTGCGCGCGGTAAAGGAGGTAACAGACACTGGAGGCCAGTGCGTAGGAACAGGGCTGAGAGTGAATTAGTAACCACTTCTATCTGACAAACTTCGTGTTGGGAAAAACAAGGCTGCCTACAAGAGTGGCCAAGTACAATTAACTCAGAACCTAGTTTCCAATCAATGGGTTTGGACAACATAGTATGTTGGCTAAAACGGATGAAACGCGCTTACCGCAAAAGTTTGATCCTGGTAGGTACTCATATGGTAGGTCTGTGGATCGACAGGTTGTCCGGTCATTTCCCACAGAGAGCGTAAAGTTTGAGAGGGACCTAACCGATGTCTACTCGCCTCCGGTTTGTCGGAACCAACACCTAAGCGACTGCATATCTCCTTGAATTGGCGTTTCTCTTCCGAGACCATTTTGCAGGAATAGCTTTCAAGCCTAAGAAACAGTGAATCAGGAAAAGCATTACAATCTTAGCTAAGTAAACCTATTACATTTTGAATAATGTTAAGGCGCGACAAAATTACAAAAGGTTATGTATGAGTTCTCAGAAGTAGTCTCGAGTCTCAAAACCCATCCAGCATGGACGTAGGCAATTCACTAGATAATGGGAAAATGCACACCACAGGGATATTGTTTACTGACCGTAAAACATATTAGTATGTGGATTGTGTAAGAATCGTTCGTGAAGAACAACGAAATGAACTACGGATGATAGATGAGAAACAGATGTAACCAAACATCTAATGGCACCCAATACCTTGGAACATATTTGGAACCGATCGGGAAGTCATGATTTCAGAAAACTTGGTAGACGACCGGTTAATGTATTTATGGTATTACCATAAATACATTAACCGGTCGTCTACCAAGTTTTCTGAAATCTAATGGCACCATGAGAAGAAGTTTTAAGGTATCGGATGATCGGAGTGTTTTATGAACATGACTATTCAGTTTTAACAGCACTGAAAAACTCAGCGAACACTCTGACTATCACCTGAACAAGCTCTATCGTGCTGATGAATGCGCAAACTGTAATACAGTCAAGCAGCAAGAGGAACGACAATCAAGTGGAAAATGATTTCAGCCAATGGGCGTTTGGAAAACATTAGCTACAATGTTGCAATGCGACAATAATAATAATCGCCGTCCCCATCACCAGCATCAAAAGCAAGGAAGGAAACCGAAAGTCGGAAATGCTCGGAGATGACTTTAGCATTACGGAATGGGAAGAGCGAAGGGGACCCCAGTGTTAAGAAAACATTCAGGATTAATGTGGCTATACTTCGCCGACACCACATAGCCACAAACAACTATTTGGTGGAGAAATAACCTCGATGGAAAAGCATCATCGTAGCTTTCACTAGCATGTGTCACGGCCAACGTAGCTCCACAGAATCAGCAATACATGGGTCGGCCAATATACGATAGCAAGAAGTGTCGAGGGCCAAGCTCAAGGAGAGTGCCACGTGAATACAAGCCATGGAAGGCTGGAATGAACAGTATTATCAAGTATAATGATCAGTGATCCAGTTAGTGACAACGTGGGAGTCACTGAAAAAGGCACTTCCATTATACCTTTCAAAAAAACCGTGATAAAAATAGGCAGATGGGACGTATCTGTGAATAAAACTGTTCGAGTACCAGGTAGATCGTAAAACATAGGCGACGCACTAGAACGGCAAATCACATTGATTCGATTCTCTTGAGAACCAAGAAGCCGTCAAGGAATGGAACATGTGAGTAACTAGGACACAATGGTGGTAAGGCTAACACCTCGATGATAGCTCTTGATGTCTTTAAAAAGTAAGAGTCCCAGAAGACAATATTATTGTATAAGAGTGATTACCAATGATTACGCCAGTCGACCATCATCATTCTAAAAGTGACGTACCCAAGGTAGAGTGTAGGGGCCTACCTTGGTCCTGATCCACAACAACGATCAACTACAGCTGCGTTGGTTGCTGCTTGCCTACTCTGAAGACGACCAGAACATATGGAGAGTTATTGACACTTCCGAGGACTGCAGTCTACTTCAGAAAAACCACAACCGCCTCTCCATGGGGTTTGCAGAAGTCCGCTTCTTGGTCAGCCCAACAAAGTCGGTACTCATGAGCATTGGGAACAGTGGCTCCGGCCGAACCTACACCCCTGATGGTAAACCGCTATAATTTATACCTTCCGCGGACTAGGCTGCGATCTGAACATCGTAAACAACACGACCAGGCTATTTTGTGACGGAGTGCGCATGCTTCGGATACTCCGAATTAGATAAATAAATAAATGGTATATTCCTCGGCGATGCGAGGCACACTCCAACTATGTGGTCTGATCAATTGGTTTGGAAAGGCTGCTACTCGCCTCTTTTTCTCCATCATAAACCAATGCTAGAGCATGGATCGCCCGCTACGGTCCGGTCAGTCGGGGCGAGGCACAGGAAGTCGAATGGGTCCAGCACGTTGCTAACAGGTATATGGGACTTGTCGTACGAAGGTTGATGCGAAAACTAGGACTGTACACTTTCTTATATCGTCGCACATAACATCTAAACAAATGCCTCATGTTCAGACCGCTGGTCCATTTGCAAACGCCACACGGCACACGTAAACACCGGTTCACATACACGAAACAACTAAGGACAGTGAAAGTGTGTAATTTATATAAACGCTCCATTCCTAGTGCCGACAAGTTTTAAAATAAGTGATTTTTATATTCTCGCCAGAACGAGCAGTTCTTCATAGTACTTAATCAGTAATAAGGATGTCGACATCTTTAGCCACTTCTAAGCCCAAGGACCTACGCCCGACTGAATAATAGACTACGTGTGGGCTTTTGTGAGTCGATAAATCGAGGAAATAAGTATACAATGAGAGCGCGGATACGAGGGAATCTGGACTGGTAGCGGAAGCACTAGAGAGATGAGACGCTGTAAAGGCTCACTATCCGCTAGCTGCGTGCAGAACGACAAGTGGTCAACTGGGCTGTTTCTGAAAGTGCCCACCCGGATAGCCAGGCAATAGTAATTTATTAATAAAATGAACCAACACCGTAACTAATTGTCACGTTTATTACAGATATCCTAAGATAATCTAGGTGCATTCGTTGGGATTAGTTAGCAAAGATTGAACGTAAGTTAATTGGCGTAATTTTGTTGCCAATACTCGGAAGACGTTTCTGTGGACTCGATTCCGACTTAGTGTGGGTGACATGGTTACGTCGGGCTTAGTCGCCGTGAAGGCTTAGGACGAGTAGAAAAGGCCCATTCAGAACCTGCGTTTAGTGACTTCTTTGAAAAGCTTACATGTGATGAGTGCCAGTTGACCAACGGCTTAAGGCTACTCAAACTCTGTGGTTATGCTAGCAGTTCGATTCAGTAGACGTCAACATCACCTAAGCTGAGACATCTGTCAATACCGTCAAGGATGAATTACAGAGAATCAGTGATGCCATAAGGGAAAATGGTTATTTTGATAAATTTATCATGAAGCATTTGAAGGAACGCAATCGGAAGCCACCTAAAAGTATTGCTCTTAAGAAAGAGCTTTTCATACACCATTTAAAGACGATTCTACAGCTATGTTATCCTGACGCTTGAAAGATGCAGTTGGGAAAACTTATTTGGCGGTTCGCCCGAGAGTTGTCTATCACAACAAGCCATTGTTTACAAAACCATTGAAAGATAGACAGCCGTTGTTGACCCGTTCAATGATCTTTTGTCAGTACTCATGCTCCTGTGCTGCACGACACGTGGGTTGCAATACGAGGGGCCTAGCTCAGAGGATTTGTGAGCACATCCCGGTATGGTTTTACAAAGGAGAAATGTGGTCCTCAGACAGTTCAATCATGTCGCACCTCCTTGCATGTAGCCACACCGCTTCAGAGAATGACTTCAAAGTCATCTATTCACTACCTGAACACTTCTCTCAAGGATTCCGCAAACAGCTCTTATCCATCGCCGAAGCTGTCTACATGCACCATCTGAAGCCGGAATTATGTGTATAAAAACGATTCATACTACTACCTTGGCCAACTGACACTGTTACTTAGTTATTTGGTTGTTATCTTACCTACTTAATCACTTCGGACTACTGAGCTTTGTGTATGCATGTTTTCACTTGGTCTACCATCTGTATCCCTGTCTCAAGTTCTCGATGCAAATCGTTCAAACAGCCCAGAAGTCAATCCCAGCCCGAGTTGACGCTTTCCTCACAATCAGTGCTATGTAAAGGTTTGGATCTAACAAGAGTTTACAAGAAAAAATTCTTTACGCTGAATTGATTTCTGATATTGATTCATATTAATGAAATGGGAATATTTGCTTTGCTGAAGAAAAGCGTTGCCCGCGATTCATTGAAATTAAAAATCCACCCACTTAAGATATCCCAATGGAAGAAGCAAATGTTGCGAGCTAAGCTAAACAGAATGCGGTGTAGAAGTGCAGCTAGGCAGTTTATTGGATCAACAGAGTTCTATGGGGACGCCTTTCAAAAGTAACATATACATTATGGATAGGGATAACGAAATAAGAAACGGGGATGGGTGGCATTTCCCTATTAACACAATGAATGTCACTTTAAACAAATTTTTGATAATCAACGGTGCCCTATCTGCTGCATCGGGCAGGGTGGATAGGGGTTTGGATGCTACTGCTCAAGCCTTCCCGTCTTCTTATTCCCCTCTTGCGCTTTTTCACCCTTATTGTCCCGTTCCAGCTTCATTTTTATCCCCCCTGTCTTCAACCTCCCAATTCTCGGACCCCCCCAACCTTGCTTCAATAGTCGCTTGTCTTTTAGTTTCAACTCACATGCGAACGCGGATCGTCATTCCTGCACTGTCAACAGGCCCATGTCCAACCAAGCGGCCCATTCCAGTTCGCCGGCTTCCATTTGGAGCCCTCGATCCTCCTTCAGATTGACATGCCTCAATGTTCGCACATTGCTTCAGATCGGTCAACAGACAGCACTAGCTCGAACATTAGAGACCCTCTCGATCGATGTCTGCTGCTTATCGGAGACCCGCATGCAAGACTCGAGCTCAGTACTCACTCTGCGATCCCATTCAGGTGACACTAGCAGCACGTTCTCATTGCGCCTATCCGGTGACGATGCAGCTTCGAGCACCGGCCAAGCTGGTGTTGGTATTGCCATGAGTTCCAGGGCTGAAGCTACTCTGGTTGATTGGATTCCAATCAGTAGCCGGATGTGTGCGGTCCGATTGGCTGGCTCATTCAAAACTTCGAAGTCGTGTGGGACCAACAGGTGTCTATTCGTTATCGCTGCCTATGCACCGACAAACTGTAGCGATGACTCGGTAAAAGACAACTTCTATCGTCAACTGAACGAGCTCCTTCGCCACAGAAGAAGCTCGGACACTGTAGTGCTGGCTTGGGAGCTGAACGCTCAAGTTGGAAAATTATCCACAGATGAGCTGCATCTGGGCGGCCAACATGGTATAGGCTCCCGTAATGATAACGGTGAGCGGTTACTTCATTTGTGTGAAGATGCTCGCTTATTTCTTGCGAGCACTAATTTCCGGCACAGAACCCGCCGAAGGGTGACTTGACGCCCACCAACCTCGAATCAGCTGTGGACGCAAATCGATCACATTGCGATCAGTTACCGATGGAGAGGCTGCGTCCAGAACTGCCGCTCGATTTGGAGCACAGGTATGGACACCGACCATGCACTTGTATGTTCTGACCTGCGGATGCGCTTTGGCGGACGCCCAAAACGACGTTGTAAGCGCATTGACACCAGCCAACTGGCGAAGCCAGCTATTCTGAATGCGTATCAAAGTACGCTGTCATGCGAGTTGAATAAGCGCTCACTGGATGCAATTGAAGGTCACTGGTCTCATATTCATCAGACCTTAGTAGAAGCAGGAAAATACTCATGTGGTATGCCTAATCGCCAACATGGACAAAGGGTCTCTTCACAGTCTCTGGAACTTATAGATGCTCGCCGGCATATTCCGGCTGGAAGCGCACACAATAAAACTCGCAAAGAGCTCCGGGCAAGACTCCGTGCTAGCCTGAAGAGAGACCGCGAATCCTGGTGGTCTCCTCGAGCTTCAGAGATGGAAATGGCCGCCGCCCTTGGTAACCATCATAAGTTATTCCGTCTGATACGGGAAACGGGCAGCAGGAGACCTGGTGTTAGTGAAACAATTTGTGCCGAGCGTGAACAGCCTTTCCGCAACTTGTCAAAACGCTTGGAGCGTTGGGCTGAGCACTTTGAAAAGCAATTTAATCGGTCGGAATGGTTAGATTTCTCGCCGGCCACTAATAGCCCCGCTCCGTGGGCTGTCCCTTTGGATCCACCCTCTCGCTCAGAACACGAAGGTGAGACTGAAATGTTGAAGTAGAAACAAAGCCGCGGGACCTGATGATCTTCCTCCAGCCCATTTAAAATTCGGGGGACCTGCTATTGTGGATGATTTACACGAATTACTAGTCAAACTGTGGGAGCAGGAAACTGTCCCAACCGATTGGAGCCGCTCCATCATAGTCCCAATTTTCAAGGGAGGCTCACGATCGGAATGCGGCAACCATAGAGGAATCAGTCTGATTTCGATTGCCTCCAAATTGCATGCCTATGTCATCCTTCACAGACTGACTGGCAATCGTGAAAGCCAGATTCGTGAAGAGCAAGCCGCGTTTCGTCGAGGTCGTAGCTGCATTGACCACATCTTTACTTTGTGTCAGTTGTTGGACCACTGTCAGATATATTGGCGGCCCACCCTTGTCGTGTTCCTCGATATCAAAGGTGCATTGGACTCGGTGGATAGACATGCACTTTGGGACTGTCTACTCAGGAAAGGCATCCCCGAGAAATATGTGAATATTATCCGAGCATTATATGCGCGTAGCTCGGGCAGAGTGAGGGCTTACGGCAAGTTGTCGTCGCCCTTTAAGATCTCTAGCGGCGTGAGACAAGGATGCCCGCTGTCACCTTTACTCTTCAACTTCGCTGTTGACGAAGTCATGAAAATCGCGTTCACAGGACACGCCTTTGAAGGTGTGGATCTGCTCCCAGAAGAACGACTTCTTGACTTAGAGTATGCTGATGATATTGCCCTTATCTGTGACAGCTCGCAGACGTGCCAAGCGGCACTGAACAGATTAGCACTGGCTGTCAGCCGCTTCGAGCTTTGCTTCGCACCCTCCAAACGCAAAGCGTTCCTCCAAGATTGGTCCGGACCACCTCATACGCTG